CAGAAGATGTCACTGTCAACCCATCAGAACCCAGTCAACAGGGCTGTGGCCCAAGGAGCTCCCAAAGGCACTCATCAGAGGCCTGAAGCCACAGATGAAAATCTAACCAAAAAAAGATACCGCAGAAATGAGGTTTCAAAGGGCCTCAACGAGCCCAAAAGCTAACCAATGTTTCTTTATGCTGCCTATTGGGTCATTATTTGATAAATACAGGGTTGCTAATGCCTGTGTCACTGCCTTTTGGAAAATCTTTGACAGCTCTGCTACTGCTAATGCTAGTCTGTAAGAGATACAAACGAATTGCTGTCTCGGAAATAGAGGGGAAATGGCACGAGTGAGCGAGAAGCAAAGGTGGCAGGGCCATTCTTGAAGCCATCGGAAACTCCAGAAGCATGGTGTACTGGTGCCAACACTTATGCCCACCTTGCCTCTCCCTCCCACCAGCCTCACAGTGTCCCAGCGCATAGATTTTAGCAGAGGTCACCTTCCCATATGAAGTGGGGCTCCCAGGCCCCGTTTCTAAGAAGAGCGAGGAACACTTTGCATTAAACTAGATAAGATAGAATTAGAAAGCATCATCTCTTTGTATGAAAGCAACAGGCCAACACGGCGCTGAGAAACGCTGTGGAGCTTCATGTCAGGACCGCTGCCCACCATGGAGAGCGGGCCCTCCTCTTCAACACCCGCCACAGGGCTGGCCTGCAGAGCCAAGGGCGTGCACCTTCAAAGCCCTTTGTATATAAGCCTAAGTCGCAGGGTCTGAAGCTCAAGATGAGAGCACTGCCCTGAAATGTATTTTTATCCTCTCCTGATGGAATGAGTCCTCTAATGGGAAGCCCTGACAGATATAAGTGGCATGTCACCTTTTCCCAGTATGCGATTTTTTACTCGGATTCCAGTATGTCTGTCACCAGCAGGTGTTGACTGAGCAGGGAAAGTGTGCCAAACACATTCTAATGTGATGCAATGCTTAAAGCTACATTATGGACTTTACACTGCTTCATTTTTCTGGTGATCACCCACCGCAGCAGTTTTTTATAAGTCAGGATGCACAGTGTTCTGCATTTGAATTAATTTTATTTTAAAGCACTACGCTCATCGATCAGCTTTTAATCTGAAACTGAATGGATTTAAGCGTCACCTAAAAGGTTAGCAGAATTAGGTTTCTGCCCTCAAACATTTCATGAAACCTTTAAAATTAGAACTCATTAATTCAACAGCAACCTGAGTCAAATATAAGAGCAAATGCTGATGGACTACAAAGTACTACCATATACGATGCCTTCTTTAATTCTTAGAGCATCCAATGAAGTATCAGTATACTCATGTCACAGAAGAGGAAACTGAGGTTCATCAGCAAAGTGAAGTGACTTGCCCAAGATTATACACGACCGGTGAGGCAGATTCGGGCTCTGACCCAGGTCCCCTGAGCCTCATCAGAACTCTGTCTACTGAGCCACAGCTGCTGCTAGAAGGTAGGGCCTGACTCCATGCTTGTGTTACCATTTTAAAAGGTTAGGAGACAATGGAATAAAGCTTTGGGAATTAAAACAATAATTTTTCTAACTTCCTTAAGGTGAAAAAAAGAAGAAGAAAAGGCGTTGCCACCACAGGCATTCCATTCTCTTTGTTTCCCTTTGAAGCCAGTGGTCAGGCCAGTGTGCACAGGTCAGAGATAATGCTATTATCTCAAGGAGATAATGTATTCAATCCTTCTGTGAGCACAATAACAAGAACTGGTTGCCCCCAGTTTAGAATAGTCATACCTAGAACAGAAAAAGCCCTGGGCAGAGAAAAGCATCAGTCCCGTCCCAGGACAGCCCATATATCACCCCCATAAACCTGCAGTACCTCGGCAGGAGTGATCCATCTTGTTGAACTGAAAGTAGCCTGACTTGCACTGGCACAGAGCAACACCGTCCAGATCAGTGCAGATGGAGGTCTCTTTGTCACATTCTGGAGTCTTCCGCTTACATAAGCTGCCCGCTGGAATGGAAAAACAAGACAGTGAAGCAAAACAAAACCTCCTCCACTTCAAACCTTAAGATGCATGATCTTTCTATTTCAGGAGGCTCTGGGAACAGCTTTTCAAAAAGTCTGCATGGTGCACGCTCCTTTCAAAAGTCCATTCTGCCTGCTGTCACTCCTCCCCTGTGTCAGGCCTGTTTACTAAAAGTTCACACGGCATGCCGTGGGACAAAGAAACCACACCAGACAGAACAGGGTGCTATCCCTAACTTCAGCATCCACTGCAAATATGGCCCTTGAAGGTATGGTGTCTTCTGTAGCTTCTCCTGTAAGGACTGCAGGGGGAAGATCAACACAAACCCAGAAACCTTGACCAAGCTCTGCTGAGAAAACAGAGGAACTCAGACCTGCCTCGAGCTGAAGTGCGCCTCCACTCTGTGTCTGTGTGCCCTACAGGGACAAAGCATGCTCATGTGGAGGGCAGCCTGTGACCTGACGTAACACAGACGATTCAGAGGAGAGAGGCAGAAAATAATCTGCTTCCTGGAGGCTGTAATTTAATCATTACCTGTCTGCCTCCCCATTACATTGATGGGGTCTTAGGGCTTATTCATCTCTGGGTCTTCAGCACCTTGCACAGAGACCGGTCCGCACACGGTGCTCAACACATGCGTGCTGAAGGTGCCTTCAAACCACCCGTCACCGGGGCACCTCCAAGAGAAACAGGCTTACTACCTCCTTCACTTTAGGATCCTATTTCTTACCTGGCCTTGTCCAGCCTTGGGCAGGTGGGCCATGCTCATTTCATGGATGACAATGAACCATTTCATTATTATCAAAAAGCATTCACGTTGGGCAGGTGGCCCTCATTGAAGCTGTACATAGCATACCCTCTCTGAAATTTATATGCAGACCCTGTCTGAGGTTGTATACAGTGGACACAGTGAGAGTACATTTTTCCACCTAACATAAGCCTGACCCCCCACCCCCAAAAAAAACCACACATGTAATTGGAGTACACAGGCAATAGAATAAAACTATGAAACCAAATGGAGAGTGCAGGGTGACTTATTTAGACCCATGTACAGGGCAAGACAAGCCTGATATATGCTGTTGTTGGCAGACAAGATCAAATACAGACTGGGGAGAGGGCCGAGGAAGGGCGACGTGTATATTGTGCAGTGAGACATGGCCTCCCCTCTCCCTTCTTAAGGAAGACACCAACCTATTCAGAAGCCAAGAGCTCTTAACACAGCAAAACTGTCCCGGCCCAGGCAGGTTCTGGTGACACAAGCCGACACCCACACAGGGGCCCCAGTATCCACCTCCTTTTCTGAGAGTCCTGAGAGCTTGGGACCTGGTGGATGGCCTGGTCACAGGGAGGTAAGTTTAGGACACAATGTTAGTTCTCAACGCCGAATTTCCTGCCTTTATCAGTGGAAGCTGACATGCTAAATCAGAACCCTGTTTGTGTGTGTGATAGAATTTCCTTTGTTTATTGTGAAAAGTCTGTATTTAAGGGAAAAAAATAAAAAATGGAAACTATCACCAGGCAAACACTGAAGCTGGCACCAGAGTGATGCTAAGGCTCCACAATCCCTCACCTAAAGTTTCAGAAGGTTCTGCCAGTTCTCCAGCCTTAATCTGTAGAAACACCTCCAGGGCAGAAGCCTGCCCAGGCTGGCACTAGTCCTCTCCGGCTGCCAGCCTGAGTTGCCTGGCCTGATGAGATGTTTTCTGGAAGCCAATGTCACGTTTTCCTTTCAGCCTGCCCATTAATCCAGCTTGCTGGCGACTGCCACTCACCCTTCCCTGCACAGAAGCGGAGCGGATTCGTGGGAAAACAGGGAAAGCTGGTTCTGCCTCTGCAATGGAGGAGCTGCTGTCCTCAAAATTCTTAAAGAATATTTTATCATAAAGGCATCAAACGGAACCACGTAAAATCCCATTTTCATTCTAAGCCTGGCGATGTGATTTTTCTACACCCACAATTCCCATGGTCCTTCCTGGGCATAACATCCGCCAGACAGACAATGAGAACTTAAGTAAATCTAAGGCTGAGACGCTGCCTGGGGGATTTCCAAGGACTCTAAACCTCTGGAGACAGGAGAGCTGCAGTTCTTTGAAAGGCGAGGAAGTGGATACTTTGTGAATCGAAGGGTGAAAACTGGCCTTCATTGTGGCCGTGTCCTGGCGCTGCCCATATGTTGGAAGCACGCAGATGCCAGAGCCTGACAGCTTCTGCCCGTCATGCCCACCCCTCTAGCACTCAGAAAGGTGAGTGGGAGGCCAAGCTGGATGTGTTGGCAAAACCTGCAGAAGACCTGGGAGGAAAAGCAGAGAAGTGAGCCTGTTTCCAGCCAAAATGCCTGGCTGTCTTTGTTTTCACGGGCTCTGAAAGGAGAGGGGGAATTATGGGGACCAGCACGTGAGGGGACAAGGGAGTATATATAGGAAATCTCTGTACCTTCCTCTCAATTTTGCTGTGAACCTAATATTGCTAGAAAGAAGAAAGAAAGAAAGAGAGAGAGAGAGAGAGAGAGAGAGAGAGAGAGAAAGAAAGAAAGAAAGAAAGAAAGAAAGAAAGAAAGAAAGAAAGAAAGAAAGAAAGAAAGAAAGAAAGAAAGAAAGAAAGAAAGAAAGAAAGAAAGAAAGAAAGTCTTAAGAAAGAAAAAAGAATGGAACCTCAGCAAGGAAGCAAGGAGGACAGGAGCTTTCCTGTGAGCCCCATCCAAGCAGTGAGAAGGAGTCAGAGAGTGGGCAGGGCTGCTCTGAACAGAATCTCACAAATGTAAATATCTGGTCACTTGATTTGTGAGGCATGAAATGCATTTACTGAAGACAAAAAAAGTAACCTCGTACAATGCTGACCACATAGGATATACTCCGTAAGTGTTTAGTGAATTGAAAGGTTTCCTTCCTACTTGCAAAGGAGGAAAAATTGGGACGTTTCAATCACTGGCAAGAGAAACAAGGTAAAACCAAATTGCTCTTGCCTCGCAGTTTGGAGCCCATTATAATGAGGCATGAACTTTTTAGCTAATTCTCCAATGATGCTGAATAATAGCAACTTTAATTCTAGAAAGTTTAGCTCTTTTTTCCCTCCTCAGATGAATAACTAGTCTTAAAATGGGCCAAAGATGCGGTTTTTATCCCAGAGTGAAAGGCTAACTTCTGGCTCACAGGCACTCTAGTGCACGACCCAGGAGGCGAGCCCTCGGGACCAGCACTCACAAAGCCCTACCCCCATGGAAAAGTCCTGGATCTACCAGAAGATAGAGCACCAAACCTGCTACCTACAACTTAGGTTTGGCGTCTGGGCACCAGATGGGAGGCCCACAGATTCCACATCCCAATTGTGTAGTAACATGAGCTAAGCAGAGCCCACTTTGATTGTTCATGGGACAGCACCAGAGACAAGCCTTCTTGGTGAGGAAGCCCCCGAGCCCAGCAGAGTTTTCTCATCCCAGAGGCGAAACCTCCCCTCTATCCAAATTTGCCTTCAGAACTTGTCTCTCATCCCTTTCTTCATCTGCTTCACAGTAGATGCTTTTGACAAAAAATAGATTAAGCAAGAACAAGAATGGGGAAATTATCACGAACGGCACCATGAGCAGCCTGACCTATCTTGTTCTGGTCTTGTTTCTGTGCGTTAATGACTTGCAAACAAACAAATAAAAAGACAGGTAATACTGCACATGCTTTTTTTACTTAATGGTATATCATGATGAAAGTCTGGGGTACTGACAAGCTTGTACGTTCTGTGTATGAATGGCTGTCTCTCCAGAGAGAACAGGAACCTCTCAAGGGAAAGAAGAGTGATTTCTGCTTCATTACATCAGCTTCTGTATCGCTTCCCTCACCAACAATGTAGAGAAGAAAGAGAAGGGGCAGCATGCCAAGGACCAGGTGACTTTAAGACACCGTGTGTGTGTGTGTGTGTGTGTGTGTATGCATGCACAAAGGTGCACGCACATGAAGGCCTTTGCTTAACACATATTTCAAAGACAGGCTGGCTCTGGATTGAGCTTGCTTAGGCCTAAGCCCTGAATGCCTGACAGTTCCATTCAAGGTCTGTGCCTAACTGTATAGGTGGGGTCCTCCCAGAGGGTCATTCGCTTACCTCTAAAGATCCGCCTCTGAGATCCCAAGAGCTGGCAGACCTCAGCAGAGGACCTGCAGGAGTTGACACATTTCTGCATCCCGTCGGCCAGGTCAAACAGCGTCACATTGGAGGCCAGGGAAAAGGTGGTTTGCAGTGACATGATCACTGCGCTGGTCTCTCTGCAGGCAAAGTGTGTAGGTTTTCAACTGTTTTAAAATGACATGTGGGCCCCAAGGCTTTTAGAAAATAAGTGTCATTTCTATTGCCCAGTGAGGGAATGGGAGCACATGAGTGTCCAGTGACTTTGGCCCTGGGTCACCTTATGGCTTGGTCAAAACAGGGCCCAGTTTTATTGCTGCCACCCATGCAAGAACATCCCCCCCCTTTCTATAGACTGGTTCACAAGCAAATACAATTCTATTACTTACCTAGAAGCACGAACTGTGGATCGGGTATAACCAGGTAATGTTGAAAAACACACATTTAACTGAAAGGAAGAACAGGTTTGTCGTTAACTATGGGTTAGACAAAAGCCTTGGACCTGGAACCAATTTCCTATTTTCAGAATCAAACAGGCATTTTCCAGCCATCAAGTTATCAGCAGGGGATTTTACAGACCAGTGGTGTCCTTTTTTTTTTGTTCCCTTCTTAAAAACGCCTTTCTGTGCTCAT